TTTTACACACTTAAACAAAATATGAATGTGCTAATACTTGAGTATTGACTTGAACTTGAAACAGACCAAATGGAGGGTTTAATTATTCAGGTTACAGAGGATCCTAGGGTCTCTTTAAGTGAGTAGTTTCTTCCCGAGGGCTTCTCTGCGGCCCCTACTCACTCCCGCAGCCGTGGGGCGGGCAGCACACTTGCACCAGTGTTCCCAATCTGTGAGCCCGGAAACGCTGGTCTCGGTTGTGCTGACCTCAGGTAGCCCTCAGTCCACCCTCAACAGCTGGGAGCTACTCTGGACAATGCGGACGTTTGTCCTTGAGAATTCATGCTTGTTTCGCACTTGTCAGAGACTCCACAGGCCAGGCACTTCGGGTTCCGCCTTGGAACCTTCTGCCGCTCCCCACCCCCACAGGGGGGGCATCTGGGTCGTCGGCAGCAAAGCTGGTCTGATGCTGGGCAGGGCGCTTCGCCTGTCCTTGCATGGGGGTCTGAGGAAAAGCAGCACAGGCCAGTGACTCACCAACTCAGCAAGAGGAGTGGGTGCCAGCTTCCCTTTCGAACATGTCCCCAGGGAAGGCGGGTGTGGGAGCAGCTCTGGCCCATCCGTGCCTCGGCATCACACGCTCCTTCTCTGTCTGCAGCTGCACAGCTGCCCCTGGACGACTGGGCGAGGCCCCAGCCAGTCGCCTGGATCTGCCGAAGTGCTGGCTCTGATGACATGTTCCTGAGGCTTAGCTAGAGCAGAAGTGCCAGGATCTGTCAGTCTAGGGAGCCATCCACCCCCTGTGGCTCATCACATGTCCCTCTGTTCTGTGCTGTCCTGAGCACGTAGTGGCCGATGCACGGGACCGGCTCCGCTCTCTATTCAGTAACCACGTCACTTATTCCTATCCCTCCTCCCTCTGTCCTTGTCATCCTTCATCCCCTTTCTGGCATGTCCAGTCATCTGTCAGAGGGCAGGGATATTTGGGCCCTGACATGGGTGATTAGAATGAAAACCTCTGGCCCACAGCTTGAGGGGCTATCAGGACACACTGGCATCGTCTGTATTAGGAAAGAAATCATGTTCATCACGGTCCCAGAAACTCCTATTATCTACCCCTTCTATCACCCTCCTCTCAGGGGGGCTTCTCGCCCTCTGGTCACAGCGGCCCTTGGTGACACATACCTGTGAGAAGGTCCTCCACTGAGCAAGTGTTTTTTGAATGCCTGCTCTGTGCCCGGTGCCCAGGTGGGCACACAGAGAAAACACACCCTCTTCTCCCGGAGGGAAGCTAACAGCGAAAAGATGGTTAACACACATGGGTAGCAGGTCAACAAACAGCAGCATGAGGAGCAGTCCCCGGAGATGCTGGGAGAATTAACGAGACACTGAGTGATGACTGATCAGCCAACCAGACCCCACTGACGGTGTCCCAGGAACTCAACCCTGTGCCGGGGGACAGAGAATGTGGCATCACAGGCCATGCCACACTCGCACCCGGGCACACACACGTGGGAGGGGGATGCAGGCCAGCTCTCTTGGTCACCCTGTTTGTGGTCGATGTTGGGCCCCCACCGGAGTTGCAGGGCCCTTCCTTGCCACAGTCCGTAACCTGATGCAGCTGGGCCGGCCCCCTGCCAGCCACCCACTGTGGTGCACTCAGTGCATCGCCCCGGCCAGCACGGGACTGTCTCCAATGAAAGCCACGGGCTGGGGGACAAGTGGACTTCCAATGCAGGGACTTAGGTTAAGTCTGGTGATCTGTGTGCAGATTTGAGTGCTACTGACTTGCGCATGTATAACACTTATCTTTTATAACCTTTAAGCTGAAGGTCAGTCAACTTGCTGCTGCTTTCCAAAGCACAACGCCATAAGAATTCTCAGATCTTGGGCAAAAGATACAGCTTTTGATGGTCAAATGAACACAGATGATCTGAGGGGGAAGAGTTGACCGGACCTGCCCGCCACGCACGCCCAGGCTGCCTGCATACCGCTCACGGGACGTGTCTGCACGCAGAACGGGGGTTTTCTCTCTGTCCCCAAAGTGAACCAATAATCTGCACACTGGCAGCAGAGTGTGAACAAATATATTTAGATATATTTAAAAGAATTTTAAAAATATTTCACAAAACATTTGTTGCCATAGGAATTTGTTTAAGCAATAAATGCCCACATCAAAATTTAAACATTGTTCGACGTATGATAATCTGTACTAAGAAGTACCGCAGCAGATTGTGTAAACAGAGCGAGGCCCACCTGCTGTCTCCTGGAGGAACCCCTTCCTTCCCGGGCGGGAGCTGGCCCTCGCAGCTGGCCAGGGGACCGATCAAGAAACTGCTATTTTCAGAGCAACAAAAATAAAAGCTTTTATTTGTTCATTTGAATATAAAACAGGCGTTATCACAGATGTACAAAGCTTACTGGTGGTTTAACATACGAGAAGGTTGCCGTCCTTCGCACATAAAAATTTTGTTTGAAACTGTGATTGGTTGAGCACATGAATTCTCTAACCAGTCACCACACTCTATGAAATAACGCTGCTAACATTCAACTGATAAAAGGGACGGTTTCCCTGGGGTAAAGTGTCAAGCAGGGTTAAATATATATAATAAACAAGCACCATGAGGAAGCCGCCCTGTTGGGTTAGGTCTGTGTTTCAATGTCCGTTGTGCACCCTCCTCCTGTGTGCAAGCTGCTCACACGGTTTTGTCTGACTTCAAAAGCACAAGGTCACAAGACAAACATTTGTTACATTCCCATGAGTGATTTATCTACAGTACGATTTCTACTACAGACGATCCTTCTTTATTGCTGAAACGGGAGTACTTAAGTGTCTGCTTCCCTTGTTCTTGCACAACAGGGCTTCGACCCCAGCCCCCCAACCCTTTGGACCTCAACTTGGACACCAGAGGTGACACCAGCCTGTTCGCAGCCTCGACGCCTGGCCTGGGGAGCAGACGCGGGGATGGTGAGGGCCACGTGCGCGGCGACCCGACTCGCTGCCTCTGGCCTCAGCCGGACTCGCGAGTTATCCTGTGACTGTTGTGTTCTATTCAGGGTCTTACGGGAAACCCTGACCACCCCCCCTCCCTTAAACAAGGTGGGTGAGTGCGGGGAAAGGTCTTTTTTTCTGTGTGTGGTGGGTGGGGTTTTCCCCCGAAGGAAGAAGAAGACTGTAGGAATGTGTATCTGAAGCGTGTAGAGAAATATTCACAGGTAGCCATGGGGTCAAACAATATTGTAAAAGCCAAATGATCTGTGGTGGTGGAAGGTTGCATCCCACATGCAGACAAATTTAAAAAAATATGCCACTTAAATTTTTAAAAAACAATTCGCCTTGGATCTCAGAAGTCAAACAAAACTCTCTTTTTAGCGAAGGGCTTACAGCAAAGGCAGATCAAGACAGCGCCTGGGGAGAAGGGGCAGAGAATCGGAGTCTGGCCCAGCCACAGTCTCGATCGCGCACATCCAGCAACGAGAGCCACTGCAGGGCCATCCCAGGCAACCACCAGGTCAGTCACAGTTGGGGAGCTGACACCTCCTCTTGGCTGGACACAGACGGGCCGATTCGTTGAGGAGCGTCCAGATGACCCTGGAAATGAGAAGACCTGGGAGGCAGCAGCTAGAGACTAAAATCAGAACCGTGCGGCCCACAGGTGGCAACGTGAAGGCAGCTGTGAAGGCAGCTGTGCGGCTTTCTTGCTCTCGCCAGTGGCGCTGTGGGGCAGTCCCGGGCAGCCTGCGTGGCGTCCCTGTGGGTTTTGCTCACACGGGCTGGGGAACCCCTGAGAGCTGGCCGAAGTGACGATCACCTTGGTGAGTCTTTTCCTGAAAGCTGTTCTGAGCACTGTCCACTCCACACAGCGGGCCTCTGGGGGTATCACTGCAACCGGGTGCCGGTGACCTCAGGAGAGCGTTCCTTTTCATACCAAGGACCAGAAAAGGGTGACACTAACACAAATGATGAAAAACCTCGTGCAGCAAATTCCTGCAGCTCAGAGAACGGTGCTGTTGGCTGCCTGACTCCCAAGTGTGCTCAGGGCCGCGAGCTTGTCCTGGTCACGCCGTCCGGTGTCACCCCCACAGCACAGGGAACCGCAGGCACGGCTCGCCTCACATTCCTCCACCTCCTTTGAGATAATTTTCAGTGATTTCACTTGCTGGTTTCTGGTTCTGGAAGAGATGCTTAGACTGGGCTCCTGGCAATCTGATCGCTCCCACCAGCAAAGCGGACGTGGGAGAACCTCTCTGATCTACAGTACAGTGGAGGGGACACCATGCAAGTGACAGGTTCTGCATTTTAAACTTTAAAATCTCCTCTGTTCATTAGTGAATTTATGTTTCATATATATATATTTGTTGTGATACTATCCACGCAAGATAATACAACACTTTTTTTATATTAGCAAACATTACAAGACTTTAATATTCTTGAATGTTTTTCTCTTTTATACTTCTAAAGAGATCAAAATAAATTAAACGTTTTTGTACATAATTACATCTGAAGAAGTTAACTTATTTTATCTTTTTAGTTTAGTACAAAGATATCTGCAAGATAATTGCTGAAATACACCTTATTTATAATTTCTTCTCATTCTATGCTATGGCCGGAGGCCGCGTGTGGGCCCATCTCTTCAGCACGTCTCTGGCACAGAAAGCTGAGAACATCTAATCGGAAGGTGCTGTTTGGAAGGCTTCCTCGTACCTCGGCAGACTTTCCTAAAAGGATGAGTTCTCGCAATGGCTTAAAGTAGTAACAGGTCCATGTCATTAAGATGTCGTGACACATTAAAACAGAGAAAACAATGCTTTGTCAACGCTACATAAATCGTTTAAAAGAACCCATCTGGAGGGCAAATATTTTTTAATTGCTATTTTGGCTTAACAAAATACCACATTTACGAAGAAAGCACTTATTATCCAATAACTAAAAAAAAAAAAAAGTTTTGAAATGGGCTTTTCCAACAAACTGAAGGCAGTAATTCGAGGCCCTTCTGCGCAAGCCTCGGTGGTCATTCACATTTCCGTTCTCCACGCCAGTCAGGACCGCTGCGGGAAGTCGCCTCCGCTCCGCTGTGTGAAACAGGCCACGTTTTGGCGAACGTCGCCCTGCGTCTGCACACGTTAGTGACACTGAGAAAAACGTCTCCACTCGAGGACAGTCTGCGGGATCCGGAGACCAGACTACATGTTGTAGGCCACGTAGATGGGGTCCAGCTGGTCCGCCAAGAACCCGTCCCGCAGGTGCATGCGCTGCTTCTCTCCCCGGGAGTTGATGGGGATGACGCCGATGTCCACCACGACCACCACCCCCACCACCAGGTAGTGCTCCTCCAGGACCACATTGGTCACCAAGGGGACCAGGTCCAAGGCTTCTTGCTCTGACCCATCAAGCTCAACCACAACCACCAACAAATTTGTCCAGGTGAACACAGCACTGGAAGAGAGAAAAAGTCATCACTGTACAGCAAGGCTTTTACTTAACAACTGTTTTCTTTTCAAGAAGTTCCACTGGGTTGTTTCTGAACCTGCCTGGGCACTAACAGTCTCAGACATATGGCCTCTCTGGGCCCACGTCCTTTAGCTCACGAACTGTCTCTCACTCCTGTCATTAGCTGTTCCCACCCGCCTGTCCTCTCGGTGGCTGCTGCTCCTGCTCCGTCATCTCTGCAGCCTCCATCTGCAACAGCTGCTGTGGAGGGCTGGTGGGCGCAGCAGTGGCTCCTCCCTTCATCTGCACACTATGACGCTAAGGGTAGAGTCTGTGTCCTGCCCTTGACCTTGAGCCACATGCATACTGGACAGTGAGATATGAGCAGAGACCAGAGAGCCCTGGGTGTTTGGGCCGAGCTGACTTGCCACAGCAGAGGGGGACATCGGGGAGGATGTGAGCTACCAGCCTGCACCCAGCTGGCCCACAGGCCTGGCCAAGCCGAGGTCGAACAATTTCATAGTCACCTGCAGACAAGGGGGCACAATAACTGATTCCTGTTCGTGTAGCTATAATGCAGCATGAGCTAACCCGTACGGGAGACAATTCTTTGATAATGTCAAAGATTCACCCAAAAGCATTTTATTTGGGATCTTCCAAAGGGAGAAGCACCCACAGTGTTTAGTCTATCCATTTGTAGAAGCAAAGTCTAGGGATTTACACTTTAAGCCATATTAACCTTATGTGGTTGGGCTTTTACAAAGTGGTTAAGAACCTTAAAATTCATCGCCCTGGTGCCCATGGGCTGCTGGGCTGCAGAGGCCTGGAGGGGCCTGGGGGAGGGGGCGTGTGGAGGACGGGACCGGGCTCCGGGGCTCTGCAGTGGGCGGCTGGTCATTCCTTTTTCAGGGGGACGTGTAGATGGTTCTATCTCAGCTGTGAGGAAGTATTTGGGAAAACTCACTCTTTTCTAAAAGTAAAAGTGTATCTATTAGAAAAAATGTGTATTTTGTTTAATATGAGTGACATGCCTGGTACAAGAAAAGGACAGTGGTAGAGTGTACGTACATCTCTCCTGGATCTGCAGCGTGACAGCGGAAAACCCTAGAAGGTGTGCTGGTGCGAAGTGCACAAAATGCGGTCTTTGCAGCAGTAAAACCCTGCTCTGCATGGCCCGGGTGAGCCCACATTGTCAGTCTGTGAAACCACAGCTTGTATTTTAATACATAATTGGTATGTTTTTTACATATAATCAGGTCTAACTTACAACATTTGACATTTCATTATGACATTTGAAATGCCTGACACAGCTCCAGGAGTCAGGTGGATTCCCATATGTCGTGGGGGTGGTGAGAGGGCTTTGATGGGAAGCTAAGGGCTCGGTGCTGGTCACTTTCGTTACCAGAGCTTTCCTAGGGGCCAATCATTTGTAACACAGGGGAAAGCTGATGAGAAGGGAAAGATTTGGTTGGCTGGACAACTTGACAGAGAAGTGGTTACATTACGTGGCACGGGTGTTACATCCTCCCTTCTCAAACCAGGGGCGTGAGAGGAGTGGCCCAGAGGGAAGACTGAGAGGGGAGAAGGGCAGTGTGTGCGAACAGTCTGCAGAGGACTGGCACCCCTGGCATGGGACCACCACGCCTCTTTCCGTCTGGTGCCCTGTGTGGACCAGGTCAGTGGAGGCCAAACCCATCGGGTGAGGCCACACGGCCGGGGCAAGAGCGACGCTCAGAAAAGAAACTAGAGTCATGGACTGGAAAGGGGAACGCGGTGACACAGTCCCGGCTGTGCAGACGGAAACTGAGGCAGGCCCGGCCCGTCTCTGAGGGCCAGCTTTGTGGCAGCGAGAGTGGGACGCGGTGTCTGAGCACGGCACCGCACACAGGTAATCAAACGCTCTCCTGTCTCCATCTCTCCGCCTGTCCAGGCCTGTGTGTTTGGGCACAGTAAGTGGCAACAAGCACTGGCCTGCAACCAGCTAACGAGAGGTATGAAGAACCTCAGACCAATCCACTGCACCAGAAAAAAAGCCATGAGATTTGGGGTGTGCCTCCCTCGGGGCTCCTGACCGGAGCTGAGACCGGCTTCATCACGTCTGCGAGCTTGGGGACCAAACGAAAGAACAAACCTCCCGCTGACAGTGCTGAACCTTAAACACCACGTCAAGGCACCGAGCGACCTGAGAAAGTGGCCCAGCTGCAGGCCCTGCTACGGAAGCACCACCGGCAGGCCCTTCCACGTGGCCGCCAAGTGGCTGGGAGGGAGCCCAGCCCCTGGGAGGGTAAAACCCCAAGGGCCCACCCACGGGAGGGAGCGGGTCTGGGATGGGGACGTACAGCAGCTGGTGTCAGTTGAGTTCAGAGAATTCTGTCCTCTGACATCTAACACCTGCCCACAGGTCACCACAACTCTTACAGTCCTCGAGCTGGCGGACACAAAGTGTTTTCTGTGTCTGTGTGTGCGTGTGTCCATTTTCTCCCTACATCCTGTTTTTTGTAAGCTATGATCTAAACAGATGAGCACTCAGGCCCCTGGGAGATGCTGCCTAACCATCTGTGGGTCATCCCGGGAAATGGGCAACACGCCGGCTCGACCTGCCGTTATCAACCCCTAAAGGTGCAGGCTCACGCTCTGAAACGCAGACTCGACCCCACCGTTCCCGGTGCTGCCCAGGTTCTGTCCCTGCTCACCACTCTGTGACGCTCTTGTGGGCCCGAATGACAGAGGTCTCGATGTCTATGGGGTGGTACCGCATCCCACGCAGCTCCATGGCCTCGTCCAAGGCTCCCACCACGTACAGCGCATCGTGGCGCTCTGTGGAGGAACAGAATACGTGTCAGAGTCCCCGAAAAACTGTTCAAGCTGTGGACTCCGAAATGAGGTGATGTGGAGAGAAGGGGTCACTGAGCCGGGCGCAGCTGCTCCCTGTGCTCGGAGAGCCTGCAGCCTGTGGCCTTGGGAAAACCTGGGGCAGCACGCGGGCCCCAGGAGGCAACATTCCTCACCAGGCTTCGGGCCCGCAGAGGGTGTTCCCCGGGGCAGTTCTGTCCCCCATCGTATAGGACCAGGACTGTCCTCAGCAGTCCTTCAGCAGCACGGGGTCCTGGACCAGCAGGGCAGTGCCTTCATCCACACCGTGCACCCCCAAGTGGCCCGCTTAGGACACAGACCAGCAGAGGTAAACCCAGTTCCCTCTGATGGTCTCAGGATTAAGACCTCATAGGAGGTCTTAATTTTGTTATTATGCCACATCTGGGTTTCTGATTATGTTCAGGAACAAAGATTTCCTTAGCTCTTGTGACCATCTCATTTCCTCTCATCCGTCCTGCAAACCGTGGGACAAGGACAACCTGCAGCTGGTCCATCTTCCCTTAAGAGTAAGAGACAAGCCCTTAACCTTCAGGTGGTAAGAACATGAGGGTGACACTGAGGACGTGATCCATGGATAAAACACCAGAACACAGATCCCATTTAAGTCAGATGAAGTGGAGACGTTTACTTGTAGCTTCTGAGCATGGCTGTGTGGCAGGGGTGGGGCTGGGCGGTAGGGGCCCCTGTTGCTTACCCTTCACCCCTCCCCACAGGACCAGACCTGCTGTGCCTCCTGGGAGGTCTGGATCCCCACAGCCTCAAATCTCTACGCTGAGCTCTTCTCAAGTTTAAATGTGATGCCAAAATGTTTTTGTGCCTTTCCCCTCAAGTTATGCCGGTTTGGTCAGGTTAGTGTAGCTCCTGCCAGGCAGCTGTGTCCAGAAGCCTCAGTGACACCTAGAAACTCCTGTCCTGGGTGTGGGAACCCTAAAGTCCAGACAGGGATTCAGTGTCTGGGGGACCCGGCCCTTCGCCCACCCCTCTGGCCTCTCACCTCCGTTTGCGTCTGTGAGCTCAGTCCTCCGCAGGAACCCCAAATAGCCCGTTCGCGCCCAGACGGTCTGGGTGTCTCCAAAACTTAATCTTGAGCTAAAATGATCTGACTGGAGGGACTCGTCTCCATAAATAGTGAAGTACCCGCTGGCGTTGTGGGCGCTGTGTACCCAGATCTGTGAGAAAACATGACTAGATAAGTCAACCGAAGGAGATGTCCAGGGACATTGGAAGTGCCCTTGGACCGCAGAAACAGGTCTCTCGGGAGACACGGGTGCCGCAGTGCCCACTGAGGTAACGCGGTGCGGGAGCCTGCGGCTCAGCGAACAGCTGCACCATTGCCCATCGAGAAGCCTATGAAAGCAGGTGAGTGAGGATTTTTAAAATAAGTACATCGAAAGAGCAAAGTCGTACCAGTTTCCTTGTACTTAATCAAATTTAATGATTGTTTCCGAAAAGCAATCTGGAAAAATGTTAAAACGTCTTATATCTTTTCTCTGTCACCCGGCTGCATGCGTACTGTTGGAAATGCATCGTGGCTGAACAGCACAAACCCAAACAGACTCTAGGAGGGAAAGCTCTAACGTCGAGAGCGGGGAACCCAAACGGCCGAGCGGGAGCCATTGGGCAAAAGGGGGAAAGCGATGTGTTGATGCAGCGTGACGACTGTGCAGGTCCTGCAGAATCACGGAAAATGCTAGAGGGACTGTTACATCAGTGAAGTCACTGAAACGTTCACACGACTGTATGCTGTCCTGCCTGTACAGTGGAAAGAATCGGAGGAATCAGGGTGTTTATCGTAAAGACATTCGGGCTTGGCTGGCTCCTTTATCTTGTTGACACTGAGAAGTAGTAAGTTCCCTGAAATCAGTGACGCTGTCGTATTTACACGGTCTCCTCAGCTCCCAGGACAGCGTCCGGCATGACGGGCACATGAGTGACCGTGACCGGCTGAACAGAGACAGGAGGGACGCCATCTGATGAGGGCAGTGGAAACTGTGCTCTTCTCTCTGAGATTTCCCCCGAAAACACGTTCCCACTAAGGAATCAGAGCGGTGTGGGTTCTTGCTGCCCCAGCACGCTGCTCCCACGCCCAAGTCACATGGGGGGGCGGGGAGGCAGCAGCAGAGACCCCCCCAGGTGCCTGACACAGCAGCCTCCACCACCCGATTTCATTTCCACAAATGCAGTGAAAGGAACTCCCTAGGTAACAGCCGTACAGCACGGTCACCTCATTTCTAATCTTTACTCATGACCGAGGTTTGGGTAGGGCCAAAAAGCAGCCTGAGAGGGATTCTGGGAGTGAGCCGTGGCTAGAACTCACCGCGATCACTCATTCACTCGTTTGCCATGTGCAGTTGTGGCACCGTGTGCTACTCCAGGAGCAGTGGCAGCTGTGACATTTTATGGAGACCTCAGCTGCGGTAGCAGGTCTGTGTGTGGCTGGAGTACGGCCACAAGGAGGGACAGCTGATGGTCCCGGGCGCTGACACCTGCGGCGGGGGTGTCCCTGCTGGGCAGGAGGTCTGACCCAGTGCCCGAGGTGGGCCGGCCTCGCAGAGGGAACCGGAGGGAAGGGAACATGTCTGTGTGAGCCAAGGAGGCCCGTTCCTGACGCCTCTGCCCAGCAGGGACGTCCCTGGAACGTCCTTCCCAGGAAGAAGCTTGTCATGAGCCAAGTATAGAGTGTCACACTGACTTCCTGACAGAAGGAAACTGCTGTCGTTCGCCCAGCTGGCCTGGCGGTTGGTGAAGGCTGCTACGGTTCTGGGTTGTAGAGGACGCCCTCTGTACACTTCTCTGTTACTTTCCTAACAAAGGCAGGCACGTGGGAAACCAATGCAAGAGCTAAGAGGGAACACGGCCCACGCAGTTTTCTCTTTTCTGCTTTTTGATGAGAACCTAACCTACTTCCTTAAGGAAGCCCCGCCTGGAAATCCTGAGCTTCCACGGACTCCTTTAAGCAGTAACACTTATCTCAAGTTATTTCCCAGCCAGTCAGTTGTGGCTTATCCAGCGTGACCAGAACGTGCACGGTGGTCAGTGGCACGGGCTCCGTGGTCACTGGCGTCCCTGGGAGCAGGCAGTGGGTAGCAGAAGGATGGATTTGGTCTCAGAGGTTCCTTCTCCAGGAGGACACCCCGCACTCACCTCACCCAGGTGCGAGTCTCCCAACGGTCCTTTTGTTTCTGGATTGGCAATTATGATCCGAACCCCCGGGAGTATCTGCATAGGAAGGAAGAACATCCTTGTCAGTACACAGGTAGAGACCCCGCAGCAGTCAACCTTGATCTCGCCTTCACTCCATACGCTCATTTTCCTTTCTAAAATCATATGGAAAGTGGTATGGCTTTAAATCGAAAGTATGTACCATAGCATTATGTAATGGCAGGGTAACATTTGTATTCCACTGTAATTACTACAATCTTACAGCCTGTGTAAAAGTGATCTGAAAATTAAGAATTCAAACAGAAGCATGATAAAGAATGTAATCTAACACAGCCTGATGCTTGCAAACGTAGATGAAAATGTGCCTCTTTGGAGTGTAACCACACAAATTCCTAAGCGGGTGGGTCTTGCTGGGCAGTCAGGCCCCGGGCCTGTAACTTCTTCGGGAAGGTTTGTCTTTGCCTTAAGCAAGCCCTGTCCACTGATCTTGTGCATCTAGGTTATTTAGCATGCCTGTGAAATGAGCACAGCTACCCTGTTTCTCCTCCTGCTGCTGAAATGTGGAAACGATGGCTGGAGCTGCAGCAGCCACTAGAGGCCCTGAGGTGCCCTGGGCACACAGTCCATGCAGGGCAGAACGAGACAGCCGTGCTGGGGCTCCTAGTGGCTTCACGGTTTCTTCCACATGAGAGAGAGAAAACCGAGCCCACTGAAAGCACTGCTATTTCGAGTTTCTGTACTCACGTCAAACCTAGTCCTGATAGGCTACATTCAAGAAAACGTTTTGGAGAAAAAATTTCTATGAAATACATTTCTTAACATTTCAAAGCCGATATACTTATGCCCATACTTATGTAGAAATGCCTATCTCTTCCTTTAATACTTACTTTTCCTGATTCCATAAGCGGCAAGCTGTGAGGGGACCCTCTTTCCACTAAGCGGACTCTACAAGGAGAAACACAAGGTGTTACTGAGTTTCTTCTGCACCACGGTTCCCTTTGTCCGCATTCGGCACTTGGCCAAAGCCTGGGAGGTAGTTGGGGAACATTGACCCTGTCCATCCACTGCAAAGACAGTTTATTTGGAAGTCAAAGGAAAAGTGGCCCATAGCAGACGGCCGCTGTGCTCTGGTTCCTGGCCACAGAGAGCGCAGGTGAAGTCCCAGTCCCCAAACCTGCAACATAATGGGGAAAATGGTTCTGCATTAAACCAGGGTCAACTCAGCATGTGCAGAAAAGGAAAAAAAATAAGGATTAACTGCACCCGTGAAAGAGTTGCCAACTGCCAGTGATGGCTTGGTCCTGAGGCCCCCGCAGCTCTGCCAGGACAGGTCGCAGGCAGGGCCCGGGTTTGCAGCGGCACAGAACCCACCGTCTACACAGCGGGCGTCTGAGCCCGGAGGAGAGGACTGGCCAATTCAGATAGCAAAACCTCTCTTCGGAAAAGAAACTCTTTTCCATTTAAAAGACACTGAATGGTAATTTAGTCCTAAGACTTGCAGAGGACTGTGGTACTGGTCACAACCAGAGCTGACTAGATCCTTCCTGGCGGCATTATTTTTCATGTTTTATAGCCTCCACGACTAGTTTTATGTTTCTATCACATTCCTACCCGACTGTGAAGCTGTTCGTTAATCTGAAAGACAATTCTGAAAGAAAAAGAAGTGAAGGAGAAAGCACTTGAGTCCTTGAAGACTACAGGGCAGATGCCGTTAGCAGGAGGTTGGGGTGCAGGGGTGTGCATGGGGAGGGGCTTTCTCTGCACCAGCGGTTTCCGGGCACAGGAGCCCGCTCTCCGCATTAGCGTAGATCCTCCTCCTGAGTGATAAATGCTAAAAAGAGGGAAGTGTGTGTGGAGGGGCCGGGGTGGCGGCGGACAGCAAAGGAAGACCCTGAAAGTCACAGGTGGCACATGGGGCACCTGGAAGCCTCACTGATACCCAAGAGGTGAGGTTCAGGGGACGTGTGTGGATGACATTATTAGCAGGAGGCGGACAGACAGGGAAGCCCTGGGGCACTTGCGTTGGGCAGGTGTCCTGGGGCAGCAGGCTCCAGTCCAGGGTTCCAAGGGCTCGGCTACAGAAAGGCCCTTATTCGGAGAAAGGCAGCCCTGCCCCCACCCAGCCTTTAATGTGGCTGTTGCTGGAGACAAAAGTGGCCGCCCCAGGGGAGTCGCTGTGGGTGGGGGGCAGACACCTTCTCTTCATCGGGAGAATGGAGAGGAGATCCTGGGGGGGGGGGGCACCTGCGCAGTCGTGGCGGTAACTTGGTGAGGTGCAAAGAACTTACTGGAGCAATTCTGGATCAGATGATAACACCAATGCAATCTTTGGTGCCTGTCCTAAGGAAGACCTTGATGCTGACAGCAGGAGATAGGGGCTGTCAAAGAAAAACCACCCAGATTGTCCAATCCACTCAAACTGTTCCAGAATTGCAAATAGGCTTAATGATGTAACCTTCCAAAATACAGTAAGTTTCCTCACTGAACGTCATCAGTGAAATGATGTATAAGGAAACCAGTCTTACTACAGGACAGAGTAAGGGCACAAACAAGAGTTAAGCTTCTACAGCATCTCATCCACGTTATCAAGAAACAGCGTTGAATGAAACAGCCCTGATGTTACCGGCTGCACTAACACAGAATTAACAGAATCCAAACCTCTTTTAGCACCTGGGTGGCATTATGCCAATTCTGGGCAGGTACTGTGAAAAATTACCAAGAGAGTACAAGGTAGGACCCACGGCGCTTCAGCTGGTAGCAGCACGCCCTTGTGAGATCAGCACCGTCAGCCACCTGCGAGGCCTGCAGCACACATCGAAGGGGCTACTGACTAGTAAAGCCGGCAGCCCAGAAGGCCCGGCTGTCACGCTGCACTGAAGCTGGGCTGGTTCTAGCATTCCGGTTCCATGAAGAGCTGGTGTCCGAGGACTGGATGGCCAACTGTGGGTTCTGAGTAGAGGCCATTTGCTATACTCAATATAGGCAGACGGAGAAAGCGGCAGGGAAATGAAGCCAAACTGGCCGGGAAAACTATGAGCGAGTGGGGGCAGGGGTGAGGAAAGAGGGACAGAATGAAAGGCAAAGGGCCAGAGAGAACGGCTGGCTAACACGGCTCCCACTGGTGGACGGTCGGGCCTCTGCGTAGCGGGGCTGCTGTAGGAGTGGGGGCAGCTGGCCAGGGGCTGGGCTGGACGTCTTACAGAGGGCAGGTGACTGGGTCAGGGAGAAAAACTCAGCCAAAAGTGAAGGCTTTTTTGGACAAGCTTCTGCTCTGCCAGCTGTCTACGCGTAGCCACCACTACTGTAGGATGTGAGAAGCCTCTGGCAGGCGTTTTGGACTTGGCAGGCAGTTCTGGAAGCAGCATTGTGACCAGCGAGGAGACCTGGTTTAACACGGCTGCTCAAGACAATATTCCTGGACTTCATAAGTAGTACCCAGGACACCGACAGCTGCTCCTTCTCTCCACCTGCCCCCCGCCGGGTTTCTGCCTGGCCTGTGCCTGGCCAATGCAGGGAATGAGACAAAGGCCCAGTTCGCCTTCAGCGAGTGGGGCCCTGGCCAGGTCTGTCTCCTCTGCCCTCTCTCTGCCTTCAGAGTTTGTCTTATCTCCCGTACGGAGAAGTCTGTCCTCCGTATGTCCCACGGTCTCTGAGAAGGGAAGAGAGATGGCACTCAGCCGGGGGCTCAGCTGGAATGTGGACAAGAGGAGGAGACCTATGTTAAGAACTACTTCTGTGGTCAGTGTGAAAACAGTGTCGGAATGGATGCTGGGACCATTCAGGGCTGGTCCTGAGTGGAAGAGCTACAGGTCCTGCCCTTCGGTCACATGAGAAGAAACAGAGCAAAAAGGAAAGAAACACCTCTAATTAAAAAAAGGCAAAGATGTGTCTCCTAAAAGGGCCGGGGGGATATCTGCAACACACACCGGAGGGCCAGGAGTGGGCAGGGCAGCACGCAGTGAGGGGTGGCCCGGGCGAAGCCCCACTCGTCCTCTGACCTCCTCAGGCTGGGAGACCATGGGCTGTTGGTGAGTCCAAGGAGCTCCAAACACGAAGTGCCCACTCGGTCCCTGGCCAGGTGAGCTGTGAGGGGCTGAGGTGGTCACTAGCACTGCTCGTTCCCAGCAGTGTGCGAGCTTAGAACAAAGCTGCCTGCGCTGGCGGGAGGCTGCAGAGGCAGGTGGCCCATGGCCCGGGCCAGAGGGCGAGGACAGAAGGGGCTGCACCAAGGAGGGAGGGGAACAGACGGGACGGATGCAAAGGCCACTCTGCCACTTGTCAGTGAGCAGGCTGGGCTCCACCCTGCAGTGCAGGCAACTTGAACTACCGAATGGGCTCAAGCAAAGCACTGAAAGAAACCTTGTCTTCAGAGCAGTTACAGCCAAGCCTGAACCAACAACAGAGACCTGCTCTCAAGACTCAGGCTAGCCTGGCAGATTCTCCTTCTGACGCTGCAGTCCTGTGACTGGGATCTCGCTGCCCCACGCCCCCAGTGCTGGCCCAGTGGGCTCCAGGAGGAGGCAGGCCCTCCCCAGGTTGAAGTCAGGGGCACTGGGTGCACTTGCTTCTCCAGGCAGCCTCCTACTTGCTATGCTAGTGTCTGAATGACGCCTCGGGCCCGGCCCCACCTCACTCCCATCCATGATGTATTTAACTCAGCTACAAGCCCCGGACATCAGAAAACACGTTTCCCCCCATGGGCTGTTATGTGGATTTGATGTCTAGGCTTTCGCCAGACTGAATGGGGAGATGGAATGTTGGCCTGGGGGAGATGTGCTATAGAGTCCCTCACTGTGTTGTTGTCCCTGACCTGCTCGCCCCCTGACCTGAACTTCACCTCGAAAGACTGCAGCCAGCACAGCAACGTGAGGGGTGTGGAGCCCGGGCCACCACCGCAAGAGCTCTTTCTGCGAGGGTTTCCATTGCCGTCAGCGCTCCTCTGGCCTCACAGCGAGCGGCGGCGGTGCACCACCGTCTCACCTCGTCTCCAGTTCCCGGCCCCCACTGTCCGCTAGGACTTTCACCGGAAGGAGACCAGCGCTTTCGCCCTCTGGGGATGGGCCCGTTTTCTAACACTGCCCGTGGTGCCTGGCACCACCCACGGCAGAGCGTCCGCTGCACCGCTGGTTCTGGGGACACGTGACAACCGAGAATCACACTCTCTGCCCCAGTGGGAGTGCTGGTGTCCCCACAGCGGCTGCCAGAGCCGGTCACTTCAGAATCACAGACAACAAGCCCTGTGTGGGCACGTCCCGGTGGACGTGGTCAGGAGGGCAAGGGACGCCTGTCCCCGCCGGCTGTGTTGCTGCCCAGCCGTGGGTGCCCCGCGGTCTCTCCTGACCTGAGCATGAGCACCATCTGTGCCTTCAATCGCCACAACCCACACAGTTGTGCCTTCATAGTCACAACCCACAGCTCATCAGACTTGGCGGTGCACTAGGGCAGGAGGGGACGGGACCGAGCAATCTGCTGGGGCAAAGTAAGGCCCAGCACAGCACAGACTGGAGAACCGGCTGAGACTTTCAACTAAACATGAAACTACATCTTCCGAAAATAACTTGAGGCATTTAAAAGACCAATAAAATATAATAAGACCATCTGAACAAGTTTTTTAGAATCCCAAAAGACGAGATGCTTTTGAATATTCAGAAAACATAGGTTAGGCCCTGACTGGTGTAGCTGGGTTGGGCGTCACCCTGCAAAGGGGAAGGTCGCTGGTCTGATATCTGGTCAGGGCACCTGCCTAGACTGCAGGTTCGGTCCCTGGTTGGGGCATCTGAGAAAGGCAGCCAATCAGTGTTTCTCTCTCACTTCGATGTTTCTCTCCCTATCTTTCTCTCTCTACAAATAAAATCTTTAACAAAAAGTGTAGTTAAAGTAGGTTCTGTGATTGGATTTAATGACTGCTCAGCTTCCTGGCCACTAAGGCAAAGAGAATTAGATTT